TAAGGGTACACAATCTGCACGAACCTGTCCAATGTCAGGAGGGCAAGATGACACGTAGAGCAACACACGAAAGTGAAGACGGCGCCAAGACGAACCAGACATTCTGTAACGTTCTGGAAGTTGATCAAGTTGTACGCGACTGTGTGAATGACAAGGACCCCTGTCAACATGTCGGTGACGGCAAGGTGACACATCACCAAATCCGTGGCCTCCAGACACGTCCTCCTCACCAAAGTATCCAGGACAAAGGCGTTCGAAACCAGGGTAAGAATTCCAATCACTAAGATAACGCTATTTATTGCAAGCGCGGGTGCGGTTACGTCGTATCCATTTAAACTTGTAAATACAACCAACGCTGTACGTTCTTCAGAGTTGTCGGCCATGACAGTGGGACGTGTTCTTCTGCACGTAACTCAACGAATTGGAGCTCTGTCTCCAGTGTGTTGCAATATTGAAACTTACATGGAATTTAAAAATCAATAATTAGAAATTTTGAATCAATGAGACCTGTATTGAATGTTTATGATATAATGCTAACAACAAAGTCTCCATAGATCTAATCATTTACTGAATATAGGTCAACCATCATTAAGCTAGTTATATGTTGACAACATGTCGTGCGATGTTGTCACATGAGTCCTTAGCATCCACACGCTGCGTTGAAGTACTAAAGCCAATTATTTTTACCATGCTTTGAATACAGGGTGCTCTCCAGGAATGAAGGTATAGGGTCATTTTCGCTACACCAATGTTGTGATATTTGCCCATAAACATTTCCCCAGGTATAACTTTCACACGAGCAGTAAATCAATATTAATAGTCAATATACTGACCGTTTACACGCAGTTGCACTTTTGAAGAATCATTCTTCGTATTCTCTATCTCTATTGATCCCGACATTTACATGGTTACAATATCAACAGACATTTTAAGATCACATCAGAAAGGGAGGCTGGTGATGTGTAGGGTTCATGCTTTCAGGTTCCGACAAGAAAAACAATCTGTTGTTCATGCACATGTTGTTCATGCATTCGGTGCAGAAGAAGTTTTTCAAGTTTCCACTGAAAACCTTCGTCAAATTATTGACAAAACAAAGAACGACAAGGGATCCCCTTCAGCCCACTGGCTCTTTAAATAAGTAAAAACCATTAGAATCGTTATGGGAATTGACAGGAATGTACGTATGAATGCATCTTCCCGAGGCAAGAGCGTCCACTAGCCTTTTTTTCCTGTGCTATGATTGGACTTATATCGACAGTCCAATCAGAGAACATGTAACAAAATCAACACCCACGACTGATGCACCTTCGTATGAAAGTGATTTACCGCTGCCTGCCTTTGTTGACACGTCTTTTTCATCTTTTAACTCCCCAACGATTGCCTATGTTCTTGTACCAGGGATGAAACCGCGGCCTTGATGTGGCAAGGGTAGAAACTAGGCTTTGATACTGGCTAGTGGACAAGCTTGCCTCGGGAAGATGATATGAATGAGAATTAAACCTTTTCTGTTCCATATATTCCGTCCTTAGTGTCATGCGTATTTGACAATGATTTATTAACACATGCTCTTGATACAGTCGGAATCGTACAGCGGATTTTACTTCTTAGCAGAGATTTCTTATGATCTCGGGAAGGGTTTGTCGCTTTTATTTGGATGTAGGTAAAGAATATAACGTAAAACCATCGTGGCATTCACTTTAGAGAATGACTTCAACAATCTTTTTGCATATTTTCATTCATTTCATTATTTTTTTTAATGTGAAGTTTACGCGACATACGGTTTTTCCATTGCACGAGAGGTCGGCCACATGACCTAGAACCTGGCGTTCATTTAAGGACCAGGTCTCGCCCCATTTGTCAGATACCTCAAATGTCACGGTTACCCAAATGGTAAAATGGATTAGTCCCGATCATATCCCGCTTGTCAGACACTTCATGAGAATATAAGACTTATAATAAATAAATGTAAGACTTTCATTGTATTTCATGGGCTTTAATAGACAAAACAAATACAAATAGTGTGTGATGAAAACATGTATCAATGTAGCCACTTTTGATAGAATCAAGGGGCGGTGGGGTAGTGGTTAAAGCGTTGGCTCGTCACGACGAAGACCCAGGTACGATTCCCACATGAGTCAATGTGTGAAGCCCATTTTCCGATGTCCCCCCTCCTTGATAAATCCTGGAATATTGCTAAAAGCGGCGTAAAACGATACTCACTCACTTTGATAGAATCACCCAATCTTGTTCTGGCTGGAGAGGCGATGTTGAAAGTGTACCTAGGTCGTGCCCCTCTTGCGATGTAACAAAGTCAAATTCAGATATCTCTATATACATACAATTTAGTAAAATCATGTAGTCATGAATATACTCAATATTCTTGAACGAAGCTGAGGTGAAAATTTATTAAAAACAAATTTAAGTTGTTTTCAAGATCAATATTCCAAATTGCCCGATTTTTTGGCAAATCAAAAAGTGTCATTTCTAGACTGTAGTACAAGTACCGGCAAACGGATGGGGTTGCATCGAGACCTGGGCTTGGCAGGCCTAAAAGAACCCGACAAGATCGTCTCTTTACATTAATTGCACAGATTCAAATCTGCTCCCGTTATCAATTCCGTACCATAAGGCGAATTTCAACAACTACCGTTAAAAAACGTGTCTACGCATCCCGCCTGAGAGCAAAGCGTCCTGTGAAGGGTGTGACCCTAACAGCTTACTATAGGCAGCAAAGATTGGGGTGGGCTAGGCAACACCAAGGCCGGGATGTGCGCCAATGGGGTTCCACCATGTTTACAGATGAATCGAGGTTTGCCTCCGATTCACAGATGGCAGAAAATGTGTTGACGACGTAGCGGCGAGCTTTATGCCAAGGCAACAATTCTTGACCATGATCGGTATGTAGGCGGTAGTGTCATGGTGTGGAGCGGTATCAGACATGACAGGTGCACTGGTTACTGTGAATGGACATTTAACTTGCCAGTGATATGTTTTGCGTCCTGCGTTTTTTCCATTTACTAGAATCATCGACTGAAATTTTAAACTGCAAGATGACAATGCCAGACCACATCGGACCCAGGTCGTCACCGATTATCTCTGACGAGACGGCACACGGAAAGTCTCAGACATGTTCCCCAAAAGAACACCTGGGGCATGTTCTGGGGCAGAGAGTGTACGTCAGAAACCCAGCATCCACCAACGTGACCAAGCTTTGGGTAGCTCTACAGGCAGAATGGCGGCGGCCAATACTAATGCAACAGTACGCAAGTTAATCAACAGTATGCCCTCACGGTGACGTGCATGATGACCTACTCGCCAGAAATTAATTTTACATTTATCGTCATTATCGTTCATCATTTCAAAATGCGCCTTCACTACCATGTCATCACTTCTCTCGGTAGTGTCGGTAGTATATATACATACATTACACACTCACCCCCCCCCCCCCCCCTCCTCCCCACACACATACCATGCCATACTATAATAGGTCTGGTGCCACCTGTTTCTATGTTGTGAAGATGTAAGTGAGTGTGTCCTAATTCTGACCAATCTGAGGCAAAAAATGATCTTTGTGATTGGAGAATGCATTTTACTGTGTAATTGGGCTTTCAATATTTTAAAAATGCTTTTGCGGAAAAAAACCCTCCACGACGTTCAGGGTATTGTTATGACTCATGTGTTGCTTCTTGATGTATCATACCATTGGTTTGTTCTTTCAGTACCATCAATCTCAGCATGTTATTTGTCACTGTCCAAATGGTTTGGGTGTCAATGAACAGTACATCGTTCCTTCTATATCCATATCTTTGTAGGCTTGCATGCTGCAAGTGCAGCAAAGGTTTCACTTCAAACCCAAGTTCCACTGATCTGGGTAATGTAGATGTGAGTACAAACTTGTCAAGTTGACTGGGTTTTGTAACACATAGTGTTGTAAAAAATGGTCCCCCCCACACCACCCTAAATATCAAATGGCCCGCCCCTGATGGGTAATTGTATAGGAAAATCATGCATTTCTAATTTTGTCTACAATTGTCTGCGACAAATCATTTTCGGTACAAGTGTGTCGATATTCCTATTATGTTGTTACTTGTTCAGTTGTATTTTCAACTTCACAACTTAAAGGGCAAGTTCACACGGAAATTAACCTATTTTTCTTGTACTTTTTCCACATTAAAAGTGTTAACCTAGAAGTGTCATAGACAAAAATATAAAAATATCACAATTAATTAACATATTTTTCGCATTAAAACGATTTATATTTTTCACATTTACCAAGTGTTCTATTTCCACAACAAAAACACCATGGCTTATGCCCCTTGCAATATGACGTCATTGGTGCCAATTGATAAACATTATGACGTCATCATGCTTTGTTAGAGCCGCTTCACGTGGTGTAGGTACAGGTGTGTGATTCTAGCGTCTCAGATGCCAGCCAGCATAGTGTTATGCTGAGTCACCACTGCGCCGGAATGTGTCGTAGGCCATGTTGTTTTACCGCAAACTGGTACTTGATATCTTTTGCATTGAGAATAGACAGGGACCCAGTTGAAATGGCACAAATTACGTCATAATCTAAGGGGGATAACTCAGGCCTGTTTAGCTCGAAAAACGAAGGCCTCATAACGGCATATCATTTTCACACTATTGTGAGTTTCCTACTTTCACTGTGAAAAAAATGAATGTATATTTTCAAAGACAGATACTAATTAATTCTAAAATTGCGTTTTGTTTAGAAAAAGATAGAAAGTGATTTTTGCGTGTACACTTCCCCTTTAAGTCATAAAATGTGATAGAATTTGTTTCTCAATAATGAAAGAGAGAACACAAAACTGAATAGTCCACCGCGCGTATTCCACAGGGTTCAAAGGGAGTTTATGAATTCGGTAAGTATTGATTTGACCATGCCTGTGTTTATTATCTATTGTAAATATAATTTTACGAAAAAAGAGTTGCCGCCGTTTTGATTCATCGCTTAAAAGGTTGTCTTGTTTCCTTTCCCGTTAATCTATATGGGTGACAATTGTCTGCACGGCTCCATTAGTGGTTGAATTGGAAGAGTTGTCGCCCTTGCCAAGGAAGCGGAGTAGTCTCCTCCTGACTGGCTGCAGCTTGAAAGCGTAGATGATGGGGTTGATCAGGGAGTTGGCGAAAGTCAGGACGCTGGCGTATACGATGTAGTCCCCAACTGCGGCTGCTGACATTTCGTGAAATCCGCCAAACGTGTACACCCATGTTATTAGAGCTGAAATAGACACAATTCTATTAGACCGGCAGCCGAGAGCACTTTGGTCAAACGAACAAGGTACCAATATCCGAACACAGGAACATTTACTGTGTAACCCAACATATTCATATATAGATGTCTGCCGGGGACCCCCTGCTGCGTGTGGCCCCTGGCCCCCCAAAAGAAGGGACCAGGGAAATCCGCCAGACGTGAACACCAGTCTTAGTACGGCTGAAATAGACGTTACGATACTGTGATTAACAATTTCTGTTTTCTGAACGTTCGTGTTATCAGTCTCAATCAGTGGACTCGCCCGAACGCAAAGTAAACAAGTTTTGATTAACACATCTGAAATCCTTGCGCACGCTTGTCATACTTATGTTAAAGGGGACAAAGCCTCGAACAACGTGGCGGTCCCAGGTAGTTTGATTCAAGTCGTTCAATCCACGCTGTGTTTTCATGGTTTGTTTGTCTGTCTCCACGGGGATTCTTGGTTGTAACAGATCCCTAACAAGATACGCTGGGCGTAAGAAGCGACTGAACGGATAGGATGGTCAGGCTCGGTGACCAGGCTTATAGCGTGTAATTGTACCCCTACGACGTGGATCGGTGTTCACAATGTCAAGCACTGGATTGGCTAGTCCAGAATTGATTATGTACAGGCCGTCGTCATATAACAGGAATATTGCTGAGTGTGGCGTGAAAAACAAACAAACAAAAACACATTTAAATAAAAATACAATGTCACAACTGTTCTGATGGCATTTATTACGTTTTGACCAAGACTGAAATTTGTCTCTAGATCGTGCAGAAAGACCCCCCTTTAATTCCCATGACACCAGTCCAACTACACTCTTCAAAAAAAGAAACGCATAGGTGTTTTGAGAATTCCAGTTAGATTTTTTTTCAGCAATCGTCATAAACACAATTCTTATTTTTGATTCCGTTAATCATGTCATGTTTGTTGTGCATTGCGCGCAAACACGTCTCAAAATGTTTTTTGTAAACGTTTATCAGCAAAAATGCAAAGGATGCACGGAAATTGCTTTCAGAAAAAGTTTTCAGCACAATGCAAGTGCAAAGTGTTTGAAACAAGAGTAGAGACACTGTATATAAAAGACCGTACAAAATTCATCAGTTCATTACGAATTTTCTGACGTGAACGGAGATCGAAAAATGCCAAAATTATCTGTAGCTGACCGAAATATCGCCATCTGACGTTTGGAAGCAAGGGAGTCCCAGTCTGCAGTTGCAAGACACTTCAACGTTCACCAAAGCACCATATCTCGACTATGGGATCGATATACCTGCACTAGTTCGACTGAAGATCATCCCAGAATTGGAAGACCAAGAGTGACCACCCCTGTTCAGGATCGGTACATCCGGTTGCATCACCTTCGGAATTGATTTGCTACAGCAACGGACACTGCAGGACAAGTGCCTGGTATGCGAAGAATTTCCGACCAAACCATCAGAAACCGTCTGAGGGAAGTGGGAATTCGAGCGTGACGACCAAAATGTGGACCTTGTTTGCGACGTCTACACCGTCAACGACTGGCGACGCGTTTGGTTCAGCGATAAGTCACGTTTTCTTCTTCAACGACGGGATGGAAGACAACGTGTATACCGACGTCGACAGGTGGACAGATTTGGTGGAGGGAGTGTCATGGTGTGGGGAGCCATATCCTACACGGGTAGATCACAGTTAGTTGTTGTCCAGGGCAATCCTAAAGCAAAGCGATACATAGACCAAATTCTGCGTCCTCACCTCCTCCCAAATTTGGACCGCCAGAGGGAGCTGTTCCAACATGACAACGCTCGGCCCCACACAGCACGTGCAACAGTTAATTTCCTAGTTAATGAGAACATCAATGTCCTTCCATGGCCGTCCAAATCGCCTGATCTCAACCCAATTGAACATTTGTGGGACGAACTTGATCGACGCGTCCGTCAACGTCACAGCGTCCCAACACACTGGCACAACTCGCCAACGACTTACAGGAGGAATGGCGAAGAATTTGCCACGAAAACATCCGACGACTTGTGCAATCTGTGCCAAGGAGGTGTCGAGCAGTGACGGCTGCAAGAGGTGGTGTGACCAGGTACTGATCATGACGCCCCCTTGTGGCTACACATGTGCAATGACCGAACTGAATTAATGCTGACAATGACGACAATGCTTTTGTCGATCACTGTGTCTAATTTCATTTGATTGTGTTCACGCATATTCTTTACAGATACTTTTACATCCGCTTAAATAATATCCTTATTTTTTAACTATGCGTTTCTTTTTTTTGAAGAGTGTATTTTTATCACGTTGCCAGATGAGCAGCTTAGTGGCGGTGTCTGACATTTCTTTCATTTGTAAGGTGAGTTTTGATTATAGCCGTTTTATATTAGCGACATAGAATATGCCCACCGAATCGGAAATCGAAGAAACAAACAAGACCATATTCAATGTCTAATCTGGATCTGTGCAAAGAAATTAAAAATGATGGCCGCCTCTCTACCAAGCTGGTCGGTAAGATGGATTTCGATTTTCCAATCGTGAATTTCCCCTCCCTATAAAAGTAATGGTGGAATGGCGGGGAACTTGTTGAGTTTCGTATATTGTGGAAGATAACTTATATGTAATGAGGAATTAATTGATTTCATATAAAGGTGAAGCCAAATATGTCTGGTCCTTTCCAAGAATTGTTTCGAAGCATTTCCGGGCACGTCCAGGAACATGTAATAATGGGTCTCTGACATCTTCCTTCCCAGGATTGCCTACCCACATGAATGAGCAAACATAGCACAGCACTATCAACTGTGAAACCTATGCGTGGCGAGATTTTCCATATTGATCCAAGTTCCTGTTTAATGCAATGATATCTTGATGTAAACAGAACATACGATGTAAGTCAAATAATTGAAACAAACTAACTTTCGCTGAACTAACTCTTATTCTCAGGGTTGATCCATTTAAAGAAAAATAAATTAGTGCAGCTGTTAACCTGATCGAAAACCGCTTGGCTTACCCAGAGGTGAAAACGAGATGATGTAAGCTCCGACAAGGAGGACCACTGTTTTGGTGAACTTCATGCTTCCAGAGTTCCTGTTCCCTGTCACGTCAGTAGCGGCGATCGCGCGGGAATGTCTCCGAGCAACCAGAAATATCTTCATGTACAGGACACAAATCACAACAAGTGGAACGAAGGTGAAAAACAGTCCCATCTGTATGTATCCTGCCGTTAGGACTCCCAGTAGAGAACATGCCGGTTCTGATGGCCCTGGTGTATCCCTCCAGCCATAGGCTGGGATGAGGCCGACGTTGACGGAGAAGACCCAGATAGCAGCCGACATGATGGACACGGACTTCCTGGTGATGACATCCTGGTAGCGGTAAGGGTAGACAATCTGCACGAACCTGTCCAATGTCAGGAGGGCAAGATGACACGTAGAGCAACACACGAAAGTGAAGACGGCGCCAAGACGAACCAGACATTCTGTAACGTTCTGGAAGTTGATCAAGTTGTACGCGACTGTGTGAATGACAAGGACCCCTGTCAACATGTCGGTGACGGCAAGGTGACACATCACCAAATCCGTGGCCTCCAGACACGTCCTCCTCACCAAAGTATCCAGGACAAAGGCGTTCGAAACCAGGGTAAAAATTCCAATCACTAAGATAACGCTATTTATTGCAAGCGCGGGTGCGGTTACGTCGTATCCATTTAAACTTGTAAATACAACCAACGCTGTACTTGCTACAGAGTTGTTGGCCATGACAGTGAGGCATCCCCTACAGCCTAACGCTTTCTCCTGAATGCACCCACATGGAAACCACTTAAGGAACATACTTATGTTTCATTACACTCGATCATAAGAACCAGTGATCAATGAAACCTATCATGGATGTCAATACCTGAAAATCGACTGATTGCCGGAAACAATAAGCTGTTATTAAAGAAATATATGCTCCCCTGACCACAATTGACATTTTATCAGCGTGCAAGACCCTGTGATAGTGATATTCTTGAAACCAGATCACACTGCGCATGGATCAGCGTGAAACAAATTTCCATCACATATTTGTGAACGTCCGTCGCGTGAACGTCGTATCACATCTTCATGTGTGTACTGCATGGAGCACATGGGCACTGGGGACCCACTCATCAATTCGTTGTGCAAAATTGCGTCCCTTGGGAACGACAGACACATATGATTGTGCTTTCAAATACCGGTTCGCCTCGATAACGTTTTTAGGTTTGACAGCACCACACCCGTGCTCGTTGGTTTCACCTGAGTGGTAAATGTTTGAGACCTGCATCACTTCGGGCTTTCCTCCCACATTAAGCTGACACGCCGTGATATAACTGGAATACTGTTAAAAGCGGCGTTAAACCCACCGCGGTAGCCTAGTACTGAAAGCGTTCGCTCGTCACGCCGAAGACCTGGGTTCGATTCTCGACATGGGTGCAATGTATGAAGCCCATTTGTGGTGCCCCCTGCCATGATAGTGCTGGAATATTGCTAAAATATCACTCACTCAATATTCTGGCAGAAGGAACATTGCCATGCGAATAGATATGGATGAGCATTACCTAAAGGATGCATACGGGCGTGTTAAATGTGAACAATGCATTGTGGTGTATAAGTATCACACAAGTGCCATGGTAAAATAGGCTTACAACTAAATGAAATACTGTGAGGATTTTCCTTAGGACATATTGATCTCCGTCTTGACATCTAGATTAATATCACGTCTCCATCTAAACAACTGTCTAGTGTCTAGTGTCTAGTGTCTAATCCTAAAGGGAGCATGTGGTCAACTCTCATCCTTGGTTGATGCAGTTGCGTCGATCGATGCTCATAATATTAATCACTGGACATTCTACTCCAGACTGTATTATTTTCAGACCGCCGTCATATAGCTGGAAAATTGCTGGGTGTAAACAAACAAACATGAATATGATCAATGTCATACAAATGAAAGATACTGACATAAATGAAGTGTATACTTATGATTGGTCATAGAGGTTTTGTCTGCTATTTTTAAGAGTTGGCAGAATAGGCGGAATGAGTGCCACTGTAGGCTGTATGAACTGTAGGCGGAATGAGTGCCACTGTAGGCAGTATGAACTGTAGGCGGAATGCCACTGTAGGCAGGATGAACTGTAGGCGGAATGAGTGCCACTGTAGGCTGTATGAACTGTAGGCGGAATGAGTGCCACTGTAGGCAGTATGAACTGTAGGCGGAATGCCACTGTAGGCAGGATGAACTGTCTACATGACATCTGTACCTTAGAGAAAGTTCTCAACAGCGGGGCTTGTATAGGCTTGCAAAAATACTCTAACACATTAAGTAACCTGAAGTCTGAACAAACTCGTTCCACACTTCTGAGAAATATAGAAGCAACGGATGTAAGGGAAAATCACTTAAATATCTAAAACATCAGAAATGAGAAACGAACATGTATTCCAACACACCTCGAGAGATGACTCATATATTTACCAAGAGCGGTTTTCGCAAATGACAGCCCAAAACGATGCACTTATAACAGCTTCTGTTCATGGTCGGGCAAATATCAGAACACTGATCAAGAGGCATGTCAACATCTTTTTGGGATACTTGTATTGTGTGAGAGATAAAAACTTGCACTTAGGGGCCATGCTGAGGAGAAAAGCAATTTGTATCACTCTTGCATTGTCGTGCAAACATGATGAGTTATTGAAAAGTCATTTGCAGTTCAGCTGGTAACGAGTTTCTATCACCTAAGATCATCGCGAATCAGAAAGCAGTTAGTTGATTATTGTTATTCACAGAAACGATTTCCTCTAATTGCCGACGAAGCAACTCTACTCATCAACTAAAGAACAATTTCCATTTCTGTATGTTTCAACCGATGAACAAGGACAAACAATACTAAAGGAATCAACCATTGATTTCATGAGAGCCTCAAGTGGGGCATCAGTTGTCGTCAGTAAGTTTATAAATCCGTGCTGATGACACTGCAAAGGACCAGCGGTTCAAAGAGCCTCAGATTTATCAAATAGATATGACATTAATCCTACGATGCCAAGGTGTGTGGAACGTCACATAGTGCGTGACAATGCTCCTAGATCCACCTCAGAAATGTACTAGAAAAGAAATCGTACCGACCCTTGCTTGATCATATGTCCCAATGGCTGTTTGAAGCACAGTATTTCGCGCCTAGTTTACTCCATAATGCGACAGATAAACGAAACTAAAAGAAACGTCACCAAACAATTTTCTGGTCTAAAACAAAACAGACGCAAAATTGAGTAACAGTTGATGTTAAATGTTGAAAAAAGTATATTCAAAAACGGTATTTGAAAATGACAAGATGAAAAACCATGTACTTAAAGTTCTGCAGACACGTTTATCATGCTGGGTGCACTGTCCAATATTCGATCACACCCGCAGAATCGACGTCGATCTCTTTTAAAGTCCCGTGCTACACACATGGCTCAGTATCGGATGTGACCCCCTCAAACAACGATTGCAGCCCGAACAGTAGGGGTGACAGTTCCGGTGATCTGGCTGGCCACTGTAATACGGCCACGTTTTTGGCGTTCAGAAAGTCGCTAGTGACTCGAGCTGTGTGAGGGGTGGCGTTGTCCTGCTGAAACAGCGTCCATGGGTGTCGTTGCAGGAAAGGCAAAACCACAGGCCGCAAAACCTCATCAATGCAACGACGTGCAATAAGATTTCCGTCGATGATGACCCCAGATCATGACACTACCACCTCCATAATGCTCCACTTCTTGGACGCAACAACGTGCCGTCCGTTCACCACGTCGGCGGTGGATTCGAACCCGCCCATCAGACTTGAAGAGTTGGCACCTACTCTCGTCGCTGAAGAGCACTCTTCGCCAATTTCTCTGCTGCCACTGTTGTACAGTCCTGGCCCATCTCAGTCTGTGACGTCGGTGTAGAAACGTTAACGTCATGGCCTCGAAAGGTCGATAGGCACGGAGACCACACAGGCGGAGTCGTCGAGCAACGGTCCTTCTCCTGACTGGATGTACAAGGCTGTTTGCAGATGATGACGTCACATTTGCCCATTGGTTAGTCGAGGCACGTTCGTTGTTTTAAACGGTTTCATGTGATGAGAGAGTAAACCCTGCTCATGTTTATGCCAGAATTTCATACGGGTAATTTTGTGCACATTTTGCATTTTTAGTGATAAAATTCACTTTTCTAGCAAATCACGTGAAGCACGTGCACATGTTCACAGGGAATAGGTAAGTTGCATTCCAGCTATGTGTTCCCAACTGTTTTCATGCCGTTTCGAAATTGCTGAAAACTGACGACCATTATTTATTTAGTGGCGTTTCTCTGGCCTGCTAGTTTAGGTAGGAGAATACGCACGCGGTTCATTGGAAATACAACAAAATACACTTGAGTTACAATCTGTTGTAATCAGACGATGTACCTCCCTGCACACGAGAAGCCATCATTATATGCATGCTTCTCAGCAACATTGGACTTTGCCATAAATCTTGATCCAGATGTTCATGTTGCCACCATGTCAGTAGCCTTTCCTACTGCTGAGCGTTCATTCAGTGCAATGAGACGTGTCAAAACTTATCTCAGGTCAACAATGGTGACCGAGCGGCATAGTGCATTAGCACTGCTTCCACAGAGATCCTGACACTGACTTTGATACAGTGGATGACAACTTTGCACAAGGGTAAACAAGGAGAATTGATCTCCCTTGTCAGAAATGTCACCACAACCCGAAATTAACGATGTCAATTCTTTATCTTTTCTAGCTGGGATGCTGTGAACTGAGTGTGTTTTCGAAATCATTTTAAAATTGCATCTGAATTTCAAATTGACCTGTTTAAAAGCTTTCCTGAGACTAGTTGTGTGGTTCATGGTATATCAGTCATATGTATCCACAGAGTCTGTTTTTAGACCTTCTTTCGTTTGTCTGTAATTTGTTAGAGAACGTAAATGTGACATTATTCAGGATCGATATGTACGCACCATTGCGGCGAGGAACAGATTCATTCCTGCGCCAGAACTAGGGGACAACTTCAGGGCTGTCACAGGAATCCGACTGTCGACGTCAACGGCAGGTTGATAACTGTGAGACGTCCTTCCAGAGAAATGCGTCTCACTGCGGCACACAGGCGCCTCTGACAACAATGGGCACTGCAGTTTTGGGGCTCGTCATAAGCGACATTGGAGATATACCATGTTTTTTTGATGAATCGAAGTTACGATTACGCTTTACAGACGGTAGACAATGTGTTTGGAGACGTTCGTGGAGAGAGGTAGTGTTGGCATCAGTCAAAGAGCACAATACGTATGGTTGTGGAAGCATCATGGTCTCAGCTGGGAGACATGACCGGTCAACATTATATGTTGACCAGATGTTACAAGTTGTCATACCATTTGTCCAGCGCATAGGTCAGAACTTTGAGTTCCTGGGTGACTATTCAGTCGACTGTCTGAGACAACAACGTGTCACAACATTGTCGTGGCTATAGAGGTTATCACGCGAGTGTGTTTGGGGATGGTAAATATCCTGTTTTAGGAATAAACACTATGTATTTAGCTCGCCAAGGTTCGCTAAATAAAATGTTTATTCCTAATGCAGGATATTTACCATCCCCAAACACACAAGCATTATAACATCTTTATCATATAATGCCATTCTTTAATTCTGTGCTTGAAAATCGCTTTCCCTCTCTCACAAACATTACCGAAACATTGCGAGTTTTCCTGGAATGCGCGCATTAATATATATTACGTCACAGGGCAAGTGATGTGTCAGTCGGACAGTGACAGTAGCCAATATTGTTCCAACTGAAACCTGTTTCTTATACAGTGGCGAAGCAACATATACGCAAAACAACAATTATTTTTACTTGCCTTTCGCGGCAATCCGTCGGTCTGTCCGCTAGAGTAACTGCCCTTTGTCAAAGGGAAGCTACTCTAACCCTAGTCGTCACGGCCACGTTCAGACGATGTTGACAGTCGGCCTGTCCTGTCATAACGTTAAGAAGTGCAGTCAGATGTACACACAGCGACAAAATGAAACAAGGTAACAATTCAAACATATTTCGGCCAAATCCAACTATTTTAATTTGTGGAAAAGGTTTCGAACCGCAGAGGTCTACAAGCACAGATATGGCTACTGATCCCGCTTGGCTAGGCCTCGTGCCCTCGCAAAATTGTTTCGAAATTTATATCTCAAAAGTTGCCCAAACTTATAAAATGCCTTAGCTACGTCACGGTTAGACATTGATTTTCAGTATATTAGACTGTTCTTTTGATAATGATAGCAATTATCCCTGTAGTTTATCCAGATTCCCGATGGTTAATTCTGACTCGATCGCCGAATGACAAGGGCGACGCCATGTTTGTTTATAAAAACTCAAAGTAGTCCCTACTTGACCTTTGATGTTTGCATCTCTATCCGCATGTGACCCCATCAGATATCGTTTTTATCCGTTGACTTTATCCTGCCGAGAAACATAGGAATATTACCAATTATATGATAAAGCCAGATCTCCTGACATGTCACTGATTGAACACCTTTGGGTTGTTCTGGGACGAAGGGCTCCCAACCGACCTCAGTGTACCCAGAATTAGCAACAGCTTGGGTAGGATACCACAGGAGACAATCGTGCCTGCATTGATGCTCACGGGGCCTGGACCTGATATTGAATTTATTATGGAGATTAAATTCCACAACGTCATTTCTTTATGTATCATTTCTGAATAAATTTGTAGGTTCCCTGTAATATTAATTCTAGTATATTTGCTATCAATGGTCTGGCCTCTACACCGGCCCAACAGTAGGATTCCCTTGGAATCCCAGAAAACCGAACTCATCACATTGCCAGCTGATGGAACAGGCTTTGCCTTCTTTGAAGGAAGAGACTTGAGATGTGTCCACTGCTTTGACTGTTGTTTAGTCTCTGCTTGATAGTGGTGACCTCAAGACTCATCCAAATATCATAGCAGACACAGTATACTGACTCCAAGCCAACCAGTCCTTGTTTTAGCCCCTTAAGGTCGTGCGCTAGGCAGGGTAACAACATGTACCATCTGCTAACGTCTTTTGGTATGACACGGCCCTCCGGGGGGGGGGGGGGGGGAGGCGGTCCTATCCATGTTAAACTGTAGCATGGTATGTCATTGGGCTTGCAGTGTAACAAGTCCGAACTAGCGCGCACACACGCACACACTGCAATATTTAAGTGCAATCATCTTGAACACGACTTTAATCCTAATTTCATCTTCACCTCACCTGATTTTAATTACTTTGACAAAAATTGTAAAAATTCAACACCAGCACCCCCGACAAAGATACAGCTGACAGGTCGGCGTAGGGTGTTTACTATAGTATCGATCTAGCAACTGTGTTTTCCTCTGAGAGGTCATTAAGAGATAATAGCACATTGAGCGATCATTATAATGTACTGGCTCACAAGCTGCAACTTCCGTTTCTATGTTATTATAATACATAGCAGTGTCTAGAAAACCACGACGGTCACTATGCAAATACCTTCTTTGTTTAATCCAGCCTAAATATTCCTTGATGTGAACATATTATGGTAGTACTACACGTTGGCCAGGTCATCTAGCTGGAATATTGCCGATTGCGGCGTTAAACAACAAACAAAGAAACATGCCGAGGCAGTTCCCAAAAATTCAATCCATTCTGGCTTAAAGTAAAACATCAACCCCAGAGAATAACCAGTCTCGATTATCCGACGAAGCACAGAGGCAGAGTAAGAGGCAAAATAGCGATGAAAGTATAAACATGCATCACTGAAACTCACACGCCTCCTCACTCCACCTTCACTCTGGAGAGTATTAGAAGTATGTCTGGAGGATCTGAAATTAATATTGTTGGGACATCTCAAGCTCTTGCCCATTAACACGGGTACGTTATTTAATAGCCAATACTGCCCGGTAGAAATCGAATCCTACAATCATCGAGAACAAAAGAAAGATAAGTCATTTTTATTGAGACTCGAATAGTTTATCCATACAACAGATATGAAAATATGCATTTGTTCGAATTACATCAGACTTACTAAGGCTAAGACATAAAAGTCATATGATAGAAATAACAAATCGTTTGTGACTCTGAAGTACACGTCAAGCTTGCCTCAAAATCCATTATCGTTATGATAGCAAAACCATTGGGACCTTGAAGCACACGTTAAGCTTACCACAAATCCTTTATTATTATGATCTGTGAAGCCTACATCAATGTACGAAACAGTGGATACTGAGTGCCTACACATGTGAGAGGTGCAACCAGGGACGCTTAGGGACCAACCATTTATTATTCATTGCTTCAAATCACCCTTTTCTCTCAGAATATAGAAGGTCCGACCCTTGCCATTAACATTGCTTCGTTACATGTATTTGCTATTCACAAATGTGCATCATTAAAACAAACGTCTTCTTAACTTAGTTATAAACATTTAAACTTGACACACATGCTCATGTAGATATCCCAAGTATCAAACCTCTGCCAACTAATCATGAAATCCAGAGCCTTTTTATGTTATGTGGAGCAGAGATAATTTTCACATCTGCATGTCATCGTATCGATGCCTATGATGGCATCCACTGGAATGGCTGGTCCCGACTCGATTACCTACTGACCGCCGCCATATAGCTGGAATATTGCCCAGTTCGGTGTCAAATAACAAACAAACAAACAAACACATATGCATCGTATTTCATATTTGCCTTAGCATAAGGTATTAAGTCAGCTTCCTTCACATACTTGTAAACTGTTAATGTGTTCATGTTTAAAAAATATATCTGAGGTAGACACATCTCCGTGAACACAGCCAAATGATATGATGGAAAGCAATAGCTGAAAATGAGGCTTGTGTAAGATGTTTTCATATCCCTTCGGCCAAGTTGACAAATGTGTGGCAACATTGTGGGTAACATTTTCACTTGGCTGAGAATTTAACATCTTTATAACTCAGCCTAACTACTTCGCTATTGTATCTAGGACTGACATACAATGGGCAATGTGAATCAGAAACGTAGGGCACTTAGAAATAATATCACAAAATGACATCCAGCCATTAGCCAAGTCACAGAATAATATCCAAAAGCCAAATATTCAACAGACTAACCGTCCATTTATTATAGGAAGAAGGGGGTCAGAGGGAATCGGGGCATGGTCATAAAATGTCAGTGTCAAGGGGAGGGTCATATTGGGGGAGAGTCATGTTATACATGTACAAGGATAAGGCAGGGTCAGCCAAACAAGCATTAGATAGGGGAGGGTAATTATTTTCAGTGCATTAATGCATCTAAAGCCTCTGACCCACCATCTCATGTAACAACGGAGCGGCCCCTAACTGCTATTTCACCTTAAAACGTTGTCTCTTTTCCCCACGAACATGTTAAAACGTGCTTTATCGTTGCTTCACATCACACATGACAATACCTTTTCATTGGGGCATAACATATTCTACTATTCCAAGTTTATGGCCCACACACATATTAATTTCGTTCGTACACAGCTAATGACAGTTTGCTTAAATCACGAATAAATTGAGAGGATAACATACATATCATAAATGCTTAATAATTGAAGGCGATGAAGTAGGTGTTGAAACCTGACATTAACAAATGATATCCTTTCACTGCTGATATATTGTTATCACAAAACAGGACAATGAACTTCAAGCTTAAGGTTCCAAAGCTATGTCAAGAAAACAATCGTTTACACTCTGTGGCAATGTTCAGTTCGTTTACACGCAATCCTTGTGTTCACAATATGCATCCATTCTATTTAATCCATATCGGTAACAATCGTCTGTACGGTTCCATTTGTTGCTGAGTTGGAAGAGTTGTCGCCCTTGCCAAGGAAGCGGAGTAGTCTCCTCCTGACTGGGGGCAGCTTGAAGGCGTAGATAATTGGGTTGACCAGGGAGTTGGCGAACGTCAGGACGCTGGCGTAGACGATGTAGTCCCCAACGTCGGATGCAGACATTTCGTGAAATCCGCCAAACGTGAACACCAAGGCAACCATAGCTGCAAAAGATAATTACCATCTGCATCAGTCCAACATTAGAACACATCGCTACCAGAACTGCAATAGATAATAATCATCTGTATTAGTCAAACATTAGAACACATTGCTACCGGAGCTAAAATAGATAATAATCATCTGTATCAGTCCAACATTAGAACACATTGCTACCAGAACTGCAATTGATAATAATCATCTGTATTAGTCCAACATTAGAACACATTGCTACCGGAGCTAAAATAGATAATAATCATCTGTATCAGTCCAACATTAGAACACATTGCTACCAGAACTGCAATAGATAATAATCATCTGTATCAGTCCAACATTAGAACACATTGCTACCAGAACTGCAATTGATAATAATCATCTGTATTAGTCCAACATTAGAACACATTGCTACCGGAGCTAAAATAGTTAATAATCATCTGTATCAGTCAAACTTTAGAACACATTGCTACCAGAACTGAAATAGATAATAATCATCTGTATCAGTCAAACGTTAGAACACATTGCTACCAGAGTTGAAATAGATAAAAACCATCTGTATCAGTCCAACGTTAGAACACATTGCTACCAGAGTTGAAATAGATAATAATCATCCGCACTAGTCTAACGTGAGAACACATTGCTACCAGAGTTGAAATAGATAATAATCATCTGTATCAGTCCAACATTAGAACACATTGCTACCAGAACTGCAATTGATAATAATCATCTGTATTAGTCCAACATTAGAACACATTGCTACCGGAGCTAAAATAGTTAATAATCATCTGTATCAGTCAAACTTTAGAACACATTGCTACCAGAGTTGAAATAGATAATAACCATCTGTATCAGTCAAACGTTAGAACACATTGCTACAAGAGTTGAAATAGATAATAATCATCTGTATCAGTCAAACGTTAGAACACATTGCTACCAGAACTGCAATAGAGAATAATCATCTGTATCAGTCAAACGTTAGAACACATTGCTACCGGTGCTAAAATAGATAATAATCATCTGTATCAGTCCAACATTAGAACACATTGCTACCAGAGTTGAAATAGATAATAATCATCTGTATCAGTCAAACGTTAGAACACATTGCTCCCGGAGCTAAAATAGATAATAACCGTCCGTATCAGTCAAACGTTAGAACACATTGCTACCAGAACTGCAATAGATAATAATCATCTGTATCAGTCAAACGTTAGAACACATTGCTACCAGAACTGCAATAGATAATAATCATCTGTATCAGTCAAACATTAGAACACATTGCTACCGGAGTTGAAATAGATAATAACCGTCCGTATCAGTCAAACGTTAGAACACATTGCTACCAGAACTGCAATAGATAATAATCATCTGTATCAGTCCAACGTTTGAACACACTGCTACCAGAACTGCAATAGATAATAATCATCTGTATCAGTCAAACGTTAGAACACATTGCTACCAGAGCTAAAATAGATAATAATCATCTGTATCAGTCAAACGTTAGAACACATTGCTACCAGAGCTAAAATAGATAATAATCATCTGTATCAGTCAAACGTTAGAACACACTGCTACCAGAACTGCAATAGATAATAATCATCTGTATCAGTCAAACGTTAGAACACATTGCTACCAGAGCTAAAATAGATAATAATCATCTGTATCAGTCAAACATTAGAACACATTGCTACCGGAGTTGAAATAGATAATAACCGTCCGTATCAGTCAAACGTTAGAACACATTGCTACCAGAACTGCAATAGATAATAATCATCTGTATCAGTCCAACGTTTGAACACACTGCTACCAGAACTGCAATAGATAATAATCATCTGTATCAGTCAAACGTTAGAACACATTGCTACCAGAGCTAAAATAGATAATAATCATCTGTATCAGTCAAACGTTAGAACACATTGCTACCAGAGCTAAAATAGATAATAATCATCTGTATCAGTCAAACGTTAGAACACACTGCTACCAGAACTGCAATAGATAATAATCATCTGTATCAGTCAAACGTTAGAACACATTGCTACCAGAGCTAAAATAGATAATAATCATCTGTATCAGTCAAACGTTAGAACACACTGCTACCAGAACTGCAATACATAATAACCATTTGTATCAGTCAAACGTTAGAACACATTGCTACCAGAGTTGAAATAGATAATAATCATCTGTATCAGTCAAACGTTAGAACACATTGCTACCGGAGCTAAAATAGATAATAATCATCTGTATCAGTCCAACGTTAGAACACATTGCTACCAGAGTTGAAATAGATAATAATCATCCGCACTAGTCTAACGTGAGAACACATTGCTACCAGAGCTGCAATATATAAAAGCAAGAATTCCTCTTATCCCCCGCCAATGGTATGTTCTACTGAGCGCAAGACTTAATATCCTGACCACAATCACCGCCTGGGAATCAATGCCACAGAATCAGAAACTGATTAACATGCTGCAAGATAATTGGCACCTTTAGCCATCTCATTACCGTGATGCTACCGGGAGAATATCACAGGGAACATTGGTTATCATCGGATACACTGCATACGTGAAGACATACAAATGGTTCATGACATGTGCTCTGGAAATTGATAATAATGTCTTGTCTCCAAAATAAACACGAGGCAGCAAAAACAAATCATACTCTCATCCTCACACATTTTGTTGTCATAAAAACTGAAAAACAAAATTGCAAAAGGAACCTGCTGCTGAGCATTGTGGACTGAATTCTGTGGACAAGAAATTTACGGTGTTTTGAGTTCCCGAAACAAAACGTGACGGACGATAATAATCATCTGAACACGGAGGCTGTCATGATCAGATACACAATACTCATCTGCAACTTTCTCAGGTTTAGAAAACCATAGCTGCCAGTGCTACACCAGGGACAAATCATCTGCATTCTGCAATAGATTCAGTTAAAGAAAGGTTTGAGTTTGAACCTTCACGTAGTTAAGGCAAAACTGTCTGACGATTGGAATTTGCGTTTGCAAGTTACATTTCGTCTGTATCACTAGTTGTGTCCCACACGAGCTTTACACAGTTTAATTCACTACGACGCATTTAACGACGAAAAATATTCACTCACTTGACATGTGGCGATTGACTGATCAGTTGTTGATTGGACTGATCATTTGAAGGTGATTATAAAGATGTGTCCAAGTAAATTGATAAATAACTACATAGTGCCCGAGCCTGACAGTCTATGCACTGCGTCAAGCGATGTTAGTCAGAATGCCCCTCGTAATCAAAATGCCTCTTCTGAATTAAAAAATCACAAATATATAGGGTATATCAGGAGAGCTTAACGTTGAAATGTAATTTAGTTCCAATTGAAAATAAACAATCATACCATACCAAACAGCAGATATCACATAAACGAATATTGATGATTTGGGAATGGGACATTTAGGCAAAAAGAATTGTTCTCCCCTCCTTGATCTGTCTTTTAATGCACACAATTTTGGCATCATCAAAACATGGTAATTCGGCCAAGATGTTTAACTAAGGCTTTGGGTATATCGATGATCACATATCCTTCAGTAATGATTAGCGAGCCAATTCCTTTCCACTGATTTCCCAACTACGAAATGAACAAAAAGTGAGACCGCCTTGACTGTTTCATATCTACATCTATACATAAAGATTCAGAGTGGCAAAACCCCTCCACAAGACGGATGACGGAAGAGGGATGACTTCAACTTTCCAATAGTCAACTTTGCCCTTATGTCGAGCAATAATCCAGCAGCTCAAGCCTTTGGTGTCTACATTTCAACACGCTTAGGGTATATCGAGTATGCGATTTGTGTGAAGATTTCAAAGAGCGTCATACGACTCTTCCTGAAAAGTTGTTTACAGCATCAAAGGCCTTTATAGTACAGCTTTTCTGATAGGCATGTGGATAACATTTCCAAGTTTGGCACATCAGTGACCAAAATATTTGGTGATGAAATACCCTATTTTGACTTGTACCATAATGTTCCCATGCTTTTTCATGTGAAGATTGACTTGCCTTTGCATGTGTTTGTGACGGGTGCCATTGGTAAGGTAGGATACACTCTCGTGTTTGCGAACACCTGGTATCAACATTATTTAACAGTGATTCATAAACATATTGTTTAAAATAATATAGTCAGAGTTGTACAAAGGCATCTCCTTTTAAGTATATATATCTTATGATGATGGAAAGGGTTTTGTCAATATTATTTTTACATCTCTTGATATGAAATAGAAAGCTTTATTTTAACCCGTTCGTTGGTTCGCTGCTCAGTACAGTTACAGCGTGGCTTCACCATGTGCCAAGAGACATGAGTGACCCAAACTACTGGTGTTTTGGTACAGTTGTGTTGATGTTATGAGCAATGATCAACGCCGTCGAGTTACAGAGCCAGACAGGAACCTGACCACCCGATTGAGCCGGCTCGTAATACCAGAATAGGTAAACGTAACACAGACAGCTTAGATATTCTGTTTTCAAAAGAATATATGGCACTCGGGAATTAGATCATTTTGAGTTTACCTTTGGTAGTGACTGTCCTTAAGTAATATGGTCTTGTCTTTATGTTGTACTGACCATCCGATTGAGCCGGCTCGTATGACAAAGGTGGCTGGAGATTCTAAGACGTATTCTCCACTTATGGGGAAAGACCAAAGGGTCTCCATAATACCAGAATAGGTAAACATAACACAGACAGCTTAGATATTCTGTTTTAAAAAGAATATATGGCACTCGGGAATTAGATCATTTTGAGTTTACCCTTGGTAGTGACTGTCCTTAAGTAATATGGTCTTGTCTTTATGTTGTACTGACCACCCGATTGAGTTGGCTCGTATGACAAACAAAGGTGGCTGGAGATTCTAAGACGGAATCTCCTCTTATGGGAAAAGATCAAAAGGTCACCATAATACATCGGCCTTTAATGCCCAGAACTGTTACATCATAATCGTGGACAGTGTTCATGTGGCTGAAAGCTAAAATGATTTATTTTTTTATCACCAGC